CAAGGCAAGTTTATTTATATAGCACTTTTCAACACAAGGCAATTCAAAGTGCTTTACAAAAAATGAAAGAGATTAAGAAAAGGGCATTTAAAATCAGTCATTAAAAAGAAAAGCTAATAAAATAAACATTAAAAGAAAAAGTACATGGATAAAAGTTACAGTGCAGTCTAAGATATGAATAGTTCAATTAAAAGCAGCGACAAAAAGAAAAGTCTTCAGTCTGGATTTAAAAGTAGTCAGAGTTGCAGCGGACCTGCAGGTTTCTGGGAGTTTGTTCCAGATATTTGGAGCATAATAACTGAACGCTGCTTCTCCATGTTTAGTTCTGACTCTGGGGACAGAAAGCTGACCAGTCCCTGAAGACCTGAGAGATCTGGATGGTTCATAATTTAGCAGGAGATCAGAAATGTATGAATGGGCCTAAACCATTCAGTGCTTTATAAACCAGCAGCAGTATTTTGAAATCTATTCTTTGACACACAGGAAGCCAGTGTAAAGACTTCAGAACTGGAGTGATGTGATCCAATGGTACTCATCAAAACAGAACTGCAACAAGGCAGAGGGGTTTAAATTCGGATAGCTTTGTGGTTTCACTGCATACTAGGGGTGTAACGGTTCACAAACATTTCGGTTCGGTACGTACCTCGGTTTTTAGGTCACAGTTTGTTACAGCAGAAGAAATGATCACAAAACATAAAATATTTTTTACGTTTTTTTTAATGATTATCAAACTGTGAATAATGTATTCACTCAAATAAATGCAAAATATAATAAAATGAACATTAGGGTGCAGCATTTCAATGAACTGAAATAATCTATATTTGAACTGTACTAGTACCTAAGCAGCCAGTTTGACAGTAGGACTTGCTTGTCATTGTATTTTCATGTTTTTTTAAAGAAAAATTAACTTGTCCACATTGCTTGCCGAAAGGGCAGATCTGCTGGCACTAACAATGTCTCCTGCTGTGGAGAACACCCTCTCTAGGGACAGAGGTAGCAGATACAGCCAGGTAGCGCGTTGCTAACATGGCAACATAAGGATATTTGGTGTTTGTAATAGCTTTGGCTCGGTCTGAACTCTCTGCGAGTGGTGGAGGCTTACATGCTAGCGGGAGTTGGGTTTGCACTTCAGTCTTTTTTCTTTTGGTACTGGTGATATTCACGTTTGGGTGATGCCTTTTCAAATGAGTGTGCAAGTTTGATGTATTGCCAGCCGCGTAACCAATTTTAGTTGAACAATGCCGACAAATAGCTTTGGTTCGGTCCACCTGTCTTTGTCCGTCATCCTCCTTGTACGTAACTGCGAAACCAAAATGTTCCCAAACCGGAGACTTCAATGATGCTGGAGGATTTTCGAGCTCAACTTTATCTGCGTTCGCCATTTCCTCAAATTACTGACTACATTTGAACGCATCCCTGTGACCAGGGCTGCAGTCGAATAGTCCGTTTAGCTTAGGAACCTTCCTAACGGAGTGAAATGACCCGGACGTCCCTCAGTGGCAGCCATGATAAGTGCCGTTCCAATTCTCCAAATGAAAGGAAAGGAGGTTTCAAACTTCCTTTATAACCTCCTTTAGCTTAGGAACCACTGGACCTCCATAACCAAAAGGAGAGGAGAAAATGCTGCCCCACAATGCATTGCAGCCGCAGCATTTGACGTCACACAATAGTCGGCCGTTCACGGACACAAACGATTATGACGGAGAAATGATATCATGAAAGTTACGGTGCTTATTAAGCATTTTGAAACGTATGTGGTAAGTTGCCAAAGTGCTTTGTTTTGAACGTTCATCAGTATTATAATCAAAAAGAGAAATACGAACGTTAGTTTTTACTGAAATGATCAAATAAAGTCAACATTTCACTGAGCTGTGTGGGGGTTGTTCAACTTTTAAAAGATGTTTGAATGGTGATATACACAGTGATAGATGTTAAGGACTAACGTTTATAATAAATACATTTGTATTGATTTTAAGATCTTTTCATAATTCATGCAATCATACGTATTGGGATCATTTGTATTAATGTGGACCGGAGGGAGAGGGTGACGAGCATAAGTTACACTTTTTTATTTCAATTCCAACTTTGGTCATGAAGAATATGTTTCTCTGTTGTCCACGTTCATAAAGCATAAAGCAACAGCATCAGAGCACGGTGCAGAGTCTCTAGATGAGTTTACAGTAGTCCCTCGTTCTTATTAAACATCCATGTTGTAGTCCGCTGTATAGAAAACTGTAGTTTCCATAGTTTCCCCACAGCAGCAGACGCATGACGTCCGCTGGCGCATCATAAACACGTCGGATAGTGAAAGTGCATTCGGATTCTCTAAAGCACCGCAGTCTCTTCTCCTAAGTCCTTTTGAATTCTCCTATCCACTATCCCTTAACCCCGTGACGTTTCACTCAGAGGTCAAGGAATAGGAGATAGGGTTAGACGTTAGGAGCTGATTTTTGGATTATCCGACCGCAACCCAGCTCTCATAGTATGCCTCTCGTCCAATTAAATGACTTGCTCGCTCTATGACGCGTTGAACCCAATGTGAGCAAATTACACTGAACGCTGCGACGCAGCACCTGAGATTACTTCCAAAAAGTTGTTCACGTTGTCAATTGTTTACGTTTAACGTTATATTCGTTCCGTACACTTTGGTACACACGTGTACCGAACCGAAGGGCCCATACCGAATATTTTCGGTACAAATACGTATACCGTTACACCCCTACTGCATACAACATTCAAGTTGTATTGATGGTGGTTGGTATCATCTTAAAAAAAGGGTAAGAACTGGAATTTGAGTTGAAGAAAGTTTGAGGGAAAACCCGATGGCTGATTTGGAATGTTTTTCTCTCATCAATGCCCCTTCAGTTCAAAGACTTAAAGGCCTACACAGGTGATTGGAATTATTCTGCTGATTAGATCAGGCTGTGGATTGGCGTGGACAGACTGCGTTTGATTGACATATTGGTCACGTTCCTGTGAGCTTCATTACACTTGATACGGCGGGACAAATTACACCATTATTATTCACACAGGTGTGACTAATACCATTGACCATGCTCGGTTCTATTCAAGTGTGCAGGAGAGCAAAGCTACATCACTGAGCCAGCACGCACACTAATCAGAAGCAATTCCCTCATTATTAATGGTATGATTCACACCAGTCCCATTTCCTCTTTCCTGGCTAAATGTGTTCTGTAGAAAAAGGCCTATTTCCATCAAAGAATACAAACTATGCAGCATTTAACAGAAGCCTGATAGGGTCCAGAGTCAACATGCACCTGCTGTAGAATCCCCATCCTGAGCAGCAATGGCTCTGGCCTTGCTGCCGGCGCTCTTTACTGCAATGGCTGTATGTCTGTGAGGTGTATCGCTGTTCTGCAGTTGATGAAACATAAAGATGATATGGCAGTCTAGAGTTGTGATGTAACTACATTGCAGCTAATGATGTAACCAGCCCTGCAGGCAGATTGAAGCGGCACAATACACAGCTACATCGTCACAGAGACAGACTGAAGAGTGTGTGAGAGACAATAACGAGAAAAAGTGTAAAACAGAGAGGCAGACAAAGAGAACACGCTGGTCAGACAATAGACAGCAGTCTGAGTGGATAGATGCTAGAGTTACAAACACACACACGCTGACTGACAAGTACTACTGGCCTAACTGTCAATCCTTCAATCAATGCCTCAAAGACTGTGTAGTCTTTAAGTGTGTGTTCATGCAGGTGCATGTCAGGAGTGTTCCAGGAATCCTGTAAGACGTCCTCTGGGTGTAACACACTGCCGCTCTCCTAAACACGCAATATGGACCAACAATGATTTTAGCGCTCATCTCCTAGCTTTCAACCAGTAACAAACACACTGCCTGTTTGAAAAGTGAAAACACAGCTTCCTGCTGTTTGCTACTGAACTATACTGAAGATCTTTGCTCAAGGAATATGACACCGGAATGATCTGACATTATAAACGTGTCCTGGAATAAAGTTGTGGTTCTCAAAGGATTCAGCATAAATTAAATAAGGGTTGTCTCAATGTTACAAAGCAACAAACATCAATGTTTGCGTACAGGACTCTGCCGGAATAATGAGGAAGGTTATTGTAGGGGTCAAATTATGACTGCGGTGGAAAATCTGGGTGAGTGATGACAGCGTTAGGCGGAGACTGCATCAGACAGGCTGGCTGCATGCATGGCAAATCATGTTGGATAATCAGATGACCTGCCAAACGTTCAGTGGTCCCCCAGGGACAGAGGAGAGGCGGAGAAAACCAACACAGGCTGTACAATAGAATACAAGAGTAGAGAAGAGCAGATGTGGAGGCACACGGGTGGGACAACATCTCATGAAATAGAGTATAAATAGGACTTTTAACATCCAATGGGCAATGAAAAAATACCCAAACGCTTAAAAGATTGAGGATTTTTGCAAAATGCCAGAATGTAAGTTCTTGGTGGTTCTTGGTGGTTGATTCGTTGTAAGGCATATTCCTACCACTCAATGTTTGGAATAGTTTTAGCAGTGACCTCAGAGGAACCTTGAAGGAACCCAATACAGTGTTTAACAGAGGCAGTACATATCCTCATTCATGTTGTTTTATGAACACATACATTGCAGCTTTAGTAGAATTCAAGTGGAGATTAGGTGAGGCTAAATATAATGGTTTTAAGTACACGAGTGTCAATTAACGTTATAGTCAGTAACGTTACAGTATTTAAGTAACGTAACACCAAAGCAACGTTACACTGTGTATTCACTCCTAAAAAGGACATGTTTCTGCATCGCCATGAATTATTCTAAAGGCAGCTAATGTTGTAGCTAGCTCTGTGTAGATGCAGACACGATGTTTTCAGACAGTCTTATGTCTTCTGCTGCTAGCTTCAGCCTGGCTAACGTTTACTAAGCTAGCGTTATGCTACCGGCGGCACAAAGAGCTCACACAGCTGGACAATACTGAAGCCTGATTAATGGTTTCCTAACACAACATGCAGCCGCTCAGTCTTACCTTTCAGACAGCTCCGAGTCCCCGCAAAGACACAAACTATCATGTATTACTACACTTTGCTATCCAGCCTGGTCCACTTGTCTGGAAGAGATGCTCAGACTCTGCTCCGCGATGTTTGAAGCATTAGCTTTTTCCTTTCAGCCTCTCACTGTAAAAATACAACTTCAGCTCGTGCCCGTAAACCACTGTGTACAGGCGCCATTACATTTTAAACCGCCGCAGGCGATAAGCGAAGACAAGAATGTAGAAAAACGGGCTAACATGCCACTGCAACGAGCAAATTCACCACAAAGCAACCAAATACCTCAGCAAAATATCGCTGTTATATGTAGTGATACTGAAAACCGCATATATACACAAACTCAGAATTAAATAGAAAGAACTCTACCAGCCTCTAGTGGCCGTTAAACTCACTACAGGAAATATAACAACGAATTTGCGCCTTTTCAAAATAATTACGGTTAGACTTCAGACGTGAAACAAACGTGAGGAAACGGAACCAGGACCAATTGGCTTCCAGGATGGGCGGGACAAACACAGATAACGGACCCAAAAATCACTCCGTCTGCTGCAGTTAACGTGCACGTCTGTTCATAAATATGTGAATTATCATCAGAAACGTTATGAGTTGTTGTGTCTGCCCTACAGGAAGACGACAATCCCGGCTACCGATGTAGATACACGCTGAAGTAAGTCAGACGTTGTCTTAAATAAAACAACAACCGGTTAGCTTAATGCTATTGGGCTATAAAAGCTAGCTGTCATTTGTAAGCTAACTAAGGATCAATGAAAATCATTATTGTATAATTCGATATAGCTATTATTAGGTACATGTTGTTTGATGTGGTTGTACATTTGAAATAGCCATGAATAGCAAGTCCAACATGGCTGTCTATTCTTATACGTCGTTATTGTTGCAAAAATACTGCATAGAGCAAACGTTGATCATTATTTGTGTCTGTCTGTTTCCTCCTCGGTGTCCAGGCAGTGAGATGTCTCTGGCTCAGAGGGTTCTATTGACCTGGGTCTTTACCCTGGTCTTCCTCATCATGCTGGTACTGAAACTGGACGGGAAGGTAAGGTTATTATTCTATTAATAAAAAGTCTCCTCTTTTTGCAGTTTCAGTTAGTGTTTACCTACTGGTGATCTCATATCACCGTCAGTATTCACATCTTTCCACTTCAGCTACAATTGGACTTGGCACACTGACATAGATAGGGAATGAACCATGATGATGTCACCGACTTGATCTTTTCCCTCTCTTCCCTCCAGGTGCAGTGGAACTGGTTCCTCATCTTCCTCCCAGTCTGGGTATTTGATGGCATCCTCATCCTCATGCTTGCCATAAAGATGGCGGGCCGCTGCAAGCCCGGGTACGACCCCCGCAACGGCTCCCCCGACCTGCGCCTGCGGGCCTGGTACCTGACGGCCATGCTGCTGAAGCTGGGCTTCTGCCTGACGCTGTGCGCCAAGCTGGAGAAGCTGGCCGAAGTGAAGCTGACGTTTGTGTGCATCCCGCTGTGGACCATGTTACTGGGGGCGCTGGTGGAGCTGGGGCTGAACATCTTCCCTGAGAGGAGAGAGGCCTAGAAGGAACTTCATAAAAACACATTGAGAATAGATTTGTGTTTGTATGACCAAGATAACGTGGAATATGAGCTTTTGTTTTTGTCCTGATTATGTTTCCAGAGAGGACTAAGACTCAAGAAGGAATTAAATCATTATTTTAGATATCAGTATTCATCCAAACTGTGTTAAACATTTCAATCATGGGGTGTTCAGAGCTCAGCGGAGTAGCCTGTGATGGCTTCAGCATGGAACCGTAACATCTCAAATGTAAAAAAATAACTTCAAATGAATGGCCTATTTTTCCTTACAAAGGAAAAAGAAATGTCACAATGGGATGAACTGTACATGTATTATAAGACTACTGTGAAATCTACACTGGAAGAAACGTAAACATGTCATTTTTGTTTATAACTCAACAACATTTTCAGTTAGTTTTCCTGAATAGTTTTAATGTAGATAAGCTTGCACATCTGGAGGAAGCAAACTGTCTTCCCCTTCTTTATTCAGCTGCATGCTGATCAGTTTTGTTACCAATCATTGGATGTACATTTAGCTATGTATGCTTTACATACTGACTATACTCACACACCCTTTCCTTTCATCTCTGGGCTATGCAGAGTACTACTCAGCCATATTTGATTTGATAAATGTACTTTATAAGTGATCCTGACAGCAGCCTGCTTTGGCTGCAATCATAAGGAAATTGCAGGATATAAAACTATCTTGTAACAACTCGTGATTTTTTCCACAGGCTGCCCTCTGCTCTGTTCAATGTCTCTTCTGTACCATGTCAATCATCATAAGCCCCATTGGAAATCAGTACGCTGTTATTACTGTAGGTACAAAGTCCAAACTCCATGACATGTGTAATGATAAATATCATGTTCCCACTGTATATATTAAGTTGAATTATTAGGGTTTGAACATGCGTCAGAATGCGTTCTTCCAGCTCTGTTCAGTGTTTCAAATGGCAGTTATTCTTGTACGGCCATGAGTGACATTTGTATTGTGCCATATTGTTTTCTATGAATATTTCAAATACATTCTTTGCGTTATTTTGCACTTTGTTAACATTAAGGGGACGAGTTGTACGAGCAAAAGTATTTCACGATTGTTGCACGTCTTGTACAAAAATAAACCAATCCTGAATATTAAGTTGTGGATATTCTCCTCAGATTGTCATACAAATACAACATTGTGTACACATACACACTCAGAAGCATCAAGTACAACAAAGTATTGTGGTTAGGAATGTTAATCGATTTCTATTATGGCACAAACTAACAATTCAAAAAGAATGAATGGTCCAATCTTTCCCCCTTCAAATTCACATATGTTCAGGACCTGTGGGACAGTGTGATGGATGTTCCTGTTGGCTGTAGCTGTTCCCACATGAGCAGCAGCCGCAAGCACTGAGGCGTAACACAGCGTAATGTGGCGGAGCTAGCTGAGCCTCACATCATTACAGGTAGCTGCAGTGCTGCTGCTGTAAATATACACCAGTCTGCACCACAACATCTAATATATGCAGTGGTGAAGTCAAATAAGTACATTTACTCTGTTACTTTTTTTGTTTTGGTATTTGTGCTTTAGTTGAGTGTTTACACCAATCAAAGTACAATATTTTTGTTTTTACTCTGTCTATATTATAATTAGCTTTTTACTATATGTCACAGGTACAACTACTACTGGCGACTGTCTAAATATTTATAAAGGAATGAAAACTGTAACAAAAACTATTAAAATACTCATGTAGTATTACATCAGAACTTCTGGTACATTTGGTACGGATACACTGAAGTAGGGATTTCTCATCAGCTTTTTTACATTGTTGTGCTATTACTTTCCTTATGGAAGGACTTTGATACTTCCAGTATTGAGTGTTTTAGGGCTAGGAAACTAAGTTTACCCCCATTTATTTTCAACTCAACTATGAAAAGTACTGTTTCTAGATCATTAGCACCATGAGCGGCAGCAGTGTGCTCAGTCTGTGTTTCATTGAGCTTTTCCGAGAATTCCCTCCAAAAGTCTTTGTCTCTCTGCACCAACTTCCTGCCTCACTCCCACTCTGTAAAGGTCAGCTGAGCTCCTCTGGCATTCTTGGTGTGTGTGTGAGAGTGCATGGAAGGATGAGAAGAGGGGGGGAAAGGCAATTTTGAGTCACATGTGACCTGACACAAACCAGTCCCGAATTACAGGGCTTCTGCATTGTGCTGTGTACAACATGTCTGCTCAAATCTGGACCTGTGAAGCTGCTGAGGTTATTTCTGCAGACTGCAGAGTGGGAGGCAACAACAACACAAGAGAAACCACAGCTGGGTGAACATTAGACAAAGGCGGAGGTATTGCTTTTTTAAATGATAAATAACCTTAAGGCTTCCTTTAAAACGTCAAACAGGTGTCTCTCACCCCCGAATCATTGTTTCCCCTCTTAGCGCAATCTATAATCTTGTGTTGAGGTGTGAGATGCTGAGTGTTGGTGATATTTGGATAGTTCTGCCTTCAATTTAATATAATGCAGCTAGAAGTCCCTCATTGTGGTGTACAAAGCGCCACATTTAAAAAAAAAAGTAAACCGCAATGTCTTTTTTTAGCGAAATCAGGAGAGAAACTCCCTCTGGAGGGAACACAGGGGTTTGAGCCTTTGCAGACCATTAACATGCACTAAAACATATAGAACACACTACAGGAGACATCAACTCAACACCCCAACATTGTCCATACATTGAACCTTTTATTAGCTAGGCTCATATTTAAAGTAGAAACCACACTACAAGTTTTTCTTCCTTACAAAACTTCGTATGTACACTACAGTGCTGACGGTTAAAAATCACGTAAACAAAATAGAAACAAAACCTTGAGATAAATAAATGATCTGGAAACAACTCCAGCCCTTGAAGACTTGTGTTGTTTTCAACCATCATTTTGTGACATTTGTACAAAAAATATAATAGTTTCTGTCAGTTATTTTTTGAAATATAAGAAAGCATAAAAAGAGCTGCAGAGTCTTTGAACTGGCATCAAGGTCTTCGATCACCTCGCTCAGAGCCACAGAGTGGAGGGTTCAGCCTCTGAAGGCAAACTGACCAGAGAGCTGGAGGCTTACGCTTCATTTTCGGACATTTTCCAGACTGGCGGTGACACTAATCCTGAAAACACAACCCTGCTTTCCGGAGATGGTCCCACCGAGCCACGCATTTCCACTCATCCCAAAGTACACCACAGATATTTGGAGAGTTTTCAGCAACGCTTAGAGAGCAATTGAAGGCTTTGCTCTCATTTTACAGGGACAACACCCCAAAATGAAGTCTCATGAAAGGACAGAACTCCTTCTCTGTGTGGCTCTGGGTCATAAATAGTTCACAGTTCAGGACAGGCACTGGGGAAATGTTGCGGGCTACATTAGCATGTGGGCTGAACTCCAATATCCTCACTAAAATCAAGACATCAATGACATAATCAAGTTTTTGACAATGAAATGATACAGAAGAGATGCTCACCACTTGGAGACACATATTCATAATTGCTGCTTTAACATCATTTTAATAATTTATTGTACTTTTAACAGTTCCTGGTTGATAAATAAAACATCTGAACTTCATTTAAATAGATAAATAGTGCTTTGGGAATGACCTCTCAACAGTGTACCTTCATACGTCCATCAATATTAAAACAATTGTCTGATAAAAGGCCTGAATGAGTTACATAATAATCCAGGAAGAACCTGAAATGGCCCTGTTGATCATCTGATATAATTAGAAGCTCCAATCATCTCTACAGTGGATACAAATCTGATGCTGCTCTGCTCCTTCTGTTATCCAGGTGCTGTGTGCTTTAACTCATGGCAAGCTGCATAGGTCATGATTTCATATTTGAATAACCCTCAAATGTAGCTAGGGTTGTTTTTAGGAGTCCAATATATTTATGTATGCATGTGTCCACTCCTGGATGGCTTTCCTGAGACTCTGGGGGCAGGGTCTAATTCATGCTTGGCTGAACAGTAAGTGTTCATTTACCAGAACTAATAAACAACCGCAGTAAGAGCTCTGCCACTGCTGCTGAGGGCTACAGGTACAACATAATACTTCACTTTGTTTTGTCATCATATTCCATCAACCAATTTGATCACCTGTTGATTTTTTAACAATACAACACTGGATCTCATTTTAAAAATCCCAACAGGATTCAATAGGACACGACTTTAAAGTCAGAATAGAAATAGTGATATGTGCTGTCACCATATCAATAATGGGGAAGTGCATTTATATTAGGGCTGCTCAATTCATCGTATTTTAATCGCAATTACGATTTTGGCTTGCAACGATTATGAAAACAACATAATCGAAATAAAACGATTTTTTTTAATTATTATTATTTATCTAAAAATATATATATATATTTTTTTTTTAATTGGTTTATCAGTTGAATTATACTTAAAGTTCAGGGTAATCAACTGTTAAAAACATACACCTTTTTCTTTCAATAAATGGATGTTTTCAAAGTAAATGGATAATCGTTTTTAATAATTGTGATATCAATTATTGACCCAAATAATCGAGATTATGATTTGTGCCATAATCGAGCAGCCCTAATTTATATTTATTGTTAGAAGATTATTGCAGAGCTTTAAAGCTCAAAATACAATATCTGAGAAATGTATTCTGATCAACTGTTTTCATTATGATGTATGGATTCAGAATGTTAGAGCAAATGTAGCAATATTATATCAATACAATAGTGTATTGTATAATATCATGGTTTGACCCATCATATTCCAGAAACAGTCTTGGGCACAAAGAATATACGAAAAAAAGCCACAAAATTGGAAGCATTAGCTGCAAGATTCACAAAAAGGTCATCATCGTGACCTTGTTCATAGAAATATGTAAAATATGTCAGAGCAGACATTTACCTTTTCCTTCCTACCTCTGGTGGCTCACCTCAAAAAACGGAACCAGGAAGCAGTTTGGCAGACACTGAGAACTTCTTCCTGAATCAAATCTTCTTCAAAGTCAAATCTGGAGCGTGACTGAAGGCCAAAACTGCTGATGAATGCAACAACGAGACCCAATCGGGGCGGTACAATCTGAAGCAGTCCAGAACCAGGTCCGACTCCGTGTTCTGAACCAGTTTTCCTTTTTACATTGTTCATCACAAATACAAAACAGCATCCTTATGTACACTAACTATTACACCTGTTTCTGCTGCTCTCCGTGCTGTGAGGGGGGGGGAGGAGGAGAGCCGGGGGAGGCTGAGGGGGAGGCGGATGAGAAGGAGGAGGGGGAGGCGGCGAGGAGGTAGGAGGAGGAGGAGGAGGAGGCGGGTGAGGATAAGACTGTGGCTGGTATTGTGGCGGGTAAGAGTGGTAAGACTGAGGGGGGGGGAAGGGGTGAGGGGAGAAGTGGGGATGCTGCGGGGGGAAGAAGGTGTTGGCATACTGGTGGTGGTGAGGAAGGTGAGGGGGGAGAGACTGGGAGCTGGGGAGGGGAGGTCCACACGGGGCGGAGAGCAGAGGAGGCTGGTAGTATGTCTGAGACTGCATGCTGATGTTGGGGGGGAGTGGGGGGTGAGGGGGGGGCAGGTGGAGCCGGCTCATGTGAGGCAGAGCTTTCTGATACGAGTTCAGCGGCTGTGAGAGCGGATTCGGGGGGAGGCGGACTCCTCTGTGAGGGAGATGTGAGGGTGGCAGGAGAGGGGAGAAAGACGGGGGGAGCATGTGGGGGAGGGGAGGAGGGGGGAGGTGCTGGTGGGTGTACTGCTGCAGGTGCATGTGAGGATCAGAAGACAGTCTAGAGTCCGCACTGTGAGGCCATCTCTCCTGCAGGGGGTGTGTGCGGGAGTCTCGAGGGGCTGGGTGTGTGTCCCCTCTGGAGGAGTGTGAGTGCACAGCGGGGGGGCCGTGCGAGGATCGGACCCCCGGCTGCAACCGCCTCCCGGGCTCTGACGCCACATCAGTCTTTGTCCTGTCCGACTGAGAGGAGGGAGGCAGTCGGGGGGTGGAGGAGACGCCGGGGGGAGGACGTTTGGAGAAGACCGCTGCAGGTCTGGGAGTCAGGGGTGAGGAAGAGGAGGAGAGAGCAGGAGAGGAGGAGTGTGAAGGAGTAACAGCTGATGAACAGGAGGAAGGCTTGGAGATGGGGGATTGAGGAGCTGAAGGCTTTGAAGTGGAAGACGTGCCTCTGCTGTCTGAGGGATGATGATGAGGGTGGAGATGAAGGTGCTTTGATGATGCTGCTTTGGGTTTGGTGTCCTGATGAGGAGGGTGAGATGAAGGTGAGTTGTTCTTGCAGAGAGGAGGCACTGGAAGGTCTGCTCTCACCCTTCCAGGAGGTGAGTCCTGCCGTTTGAGTTCCCCTCCTTCTTTCCCCCTCTCCTTCTCCAGCCGTTTGCCTCTGTTCATGTTGGAGTCCAGCAGGGGGGCGGGGTGATGAGCCACTTCCTGTTTTCTCACAGCTGGCAGCGCTCGGTTTTCCAACCCATCAGCCGCCTCTTCCTCCTTCTTTATCTTCACCTTCACTCCTTTCTCACTCTTTTTTTTTCTCCTCTCCTCTTTTTCCTCCACTTTTTTCCTCTCTTTCTCCCTCGGCTCAACCTGCTCCTCCTCTACTTTCACTATCACCTCCTCCTCCTCCTCCTCCTCCTCTTCTTCCTCCTCCTCCTCCTCCTCCTCCTCCTCTCCTGCTCCCTGGTGGTATTTCCTTAAGCGTACGTGCCATGCCAGGCTGCAGACGGACGACACGGTCTTGAACTGATGCACCACGTTGCGAGGGATGAAGTAGATGTCGTTGTGGCTCAGGTGGATGCGGGCGTAGTGGATGCCCTCCCTGCGCAGCTGGTTCAGTTTGGCATCATCCACCCACTGCACACACTGTGAGAAGAGAGGGGTTTGAGTCAGAGGCAGCTTTAGTGTGTGTGTATATATATATACACACACACTCATACGAAGACACATATATACATATACACACATTAGGGGGTACAAATAAAAAGAAGGCACAACAGTACATTTATAAAAAATGACAGTCTACACACAAATTGGGACAGGACACTGAGTCAAGTCCACTAGACTAGTTTGAATGGAGGAAACTAAGCGGCTCCATCTTTAGATCCTGACATGCATCTTAAAACTGATATTTTGAATCATTAAAAATGTAATTACAATTATTTAATCTTTCAGTTTTCCATCTTGCGAAACCTTTTTTTAGTAAACAATTTATGGGAACAATTTAAAGTGTTTTATTGCAAAATAAATCTTACTGCAGTTCAGTTTTTCACCACAATGTGGCAGCATACAACAGATTCATTAACAATACACCCAACCAAGTATCAGTGACTACGTGCTTTTGTATGGAAAAACTCACACATATTTGAAGTTACTCTATTGGGGGGGTCTGATGGATGAGCAGTGCTTATTACTGTGTGTGTGTGTGTGTGTGTGTGTGTGTGTGTGTGTGTGTGTGTGTGTGTGTGTGTGTGTGTGTGTGTGTGTGTGTGTGTGTGTGTGTGTGTGTGTGTGTGTGTGACATTCTAACCTGAGACAGCGGAGGCTCGTACAGGTCCAGCTGCAGCCTCTGAACTACTTGAGGGAAATCTCCAGCGTGGAAACACACAACGTCTTTGGTTACACGAGGAGGCTCCGAGCTGAACAAGGGAGGGAAGGAGGGAGGGAGGGAGGGAGGAGGGAGGAGGGATTACAGGACAGTTGTTGGAGAGGAAGCCGACTGAGCATCTGCCCCCAGCAGTGTGATCACATGTTGCTCCACTTCTTACCTTCCTCCGGCCCGCACGGCCTTCAGCACCCCCACTGCTGCCGTGGTCTGTCGCTCGAAGCCCTGCCCGATGTGATCAGCGTGGGCCCGGGTCCGGTCCTCGAACAGCAACTCTCTGGGCTCGCTGGTCCTCGGCAGAGACTGCAGCAGGTTCTTCACCTCGTTGGTGGAGCTACCAAATGACAGAAAGAAACAGTGGAGTCAAAAGTATTAAAAGGATTTTCACTCAGTCCAACTAAGATGTCTCGCTCTTGTCTCTGCTGTGTACAAAAAGAAAACACTGACTAAAAGTGAACGGCAGCTGTCTCGACTCATTGATGTAAACCAGCCGCGAGAGCCTGACACAGGGAGCAGAGAGGATGTTACACAGGAGCAAAGCCTGCATTCATGTGAAGTCAATTAGGCAAACTGGTTGGGGGCATTTTCGGCAGAACATCACCTAGCAACCATCACGCAAAAACAACACTCATCATTTACACTTGAAAAAAACAAAGCATCAAAAAAGACTAATCTAGTAAAGAAATCTTAGACAAAAAAACAACGCATCAGTGTAGGCAGCCCAACAGAAGATATACCATAAAAAAAGTGTTTCATATTTCATAATCTATTTATAAAGAAATACATTTGGTTCGGTAAATACAAATGTAGGTTTTTAAGCACAAATGAAGTACATTTAAGTAATGCAAAAAATAAATGTATCCACGCTTTTCTTCATGCAGACAGACTGAGAAGCTGAGGAGTTCAAACGCTCACAAACGAGGCGTGTTGCCAAACAATAGAAGTACTGCAGTCAGCTCGCTGCTGGATCAGTGACTCACACTGAAGCTGCAGTCACATTCAAACAAGAAACCCTGACACAGAGTGTGTGAGGTTCCTTCGAGAGTGTAACACAGGCAGAACCACGGCGAGACTACCCCTGCTCAACACTTCATTGTGCATTCATTCAGAGATAAGAGAGGAGAGTTGGTGAAAGGGGAAGAAGAACAAGTGAAAACCCACACACAGCTCCGTGTGTCTGAGCTGGCTGCAGGCTGACAGTAGGGAATGTAAAAGCAGGAAACACTCCAAATGAGACTGCTGAACGTGCACATCTACAGTGATGTTAGAAGTCTACCATCTCCTGCTCTTCCTGTCGTCCTGGCACAATGAGGACATGAAGCTATGCGTGTCTGCACCAAGTCATCAGGACACATCCCTGTGTTAGTGGGCAAATGAAGAGGGAGGTAAAAGAAAAGACAGGAGTGGAGAGAGAGAGAGAGAGAGAGAGGAGATGATGGAGGGGAACAGGGGATAGAGAAGGAGAGAGCAGAGGATTAGGCAGTTCAAAAAGTGTAGGGGGGGGGCCGCGCTCTGACGATGGACACAGAGAACCTCTGAAAGCTGCAGCACGTCCCCTTTACACTGAGCTGAAGCTACTAATGAGTATTTGCACCATTGATTTATCTGCCTAGTGCTTTCTCTGTTACTCAATATGTGTTTAGTCGGAAACAATCAATTCACAATGATGTAAAAAAGGTCTCATGGAGCAGCTGTAGCCAGAACATGTTTAGAGCGTTTGCTTATAAAAACAAAAAGGATTATTAATGGATTTCTTTCAAAATAATAGATGTTCTGATACTTAGCTAACGGATTCATAAACTAATCATATGCTTGAAACTGAGCATTGCGTGTTTGACATGCAGCTGACAGCCACCGGCCCCCCATGGACCCCCATGGCTGTCTGTCATAGGTCATGCTGTGTGTTTCTGAGCGGGAACAGCATGCTCTGCTTCCTGTCTGCAACCGAGGGGCTGCTGCTGTTGCTATGCAATTATTAGAAATCTAGGGGAAGCAAGGCGCTCATCACTAAATGCTGAAATATTTGGGTTTATTTGAGTCATCGGACCACTGAGATGTAGAAGAAGAAAAGCGCCTGGACCTTTTCACTAAACGGGAAATGCTGAGATAGGATGTTCCTCTTACACGAGTAGCCTTCTTTCAACACAAATACAGTCAAGCTGCAGATGAACCCTTCTCTTCACTTGTCTTTATACTCTGACATATTGGATACACATACATATGCAACACACTGTTAGAGTGCCTGGAAATAACAGCTTCACAATAAATCAACTTAAAGCCTAGGAAGAGGTCAGGAGGAGGAAACAGAAGGCAGAGAAGACGGATATAAACAGATACATGTGGGAGGAGTGGAGGGAAGGAAAGGAGGCTTCGGATGAGGGATCCAGGAGCCAACATGGGAACAATATCAGGAGTGCACCGCTTGGTTTGTATACTCATGGTGATTTATGAATGAGTAATATGATGAGACACGATATAAAAGAGAAACAAACAGTTTAACCAGCTCTCTCTCTCTCTCTGTCTGTGTCTCTATAGAACAGATTCTTCAGCCCCAGCTATAACAAGTGTTTCTGACAGCACACACACACACTCATGCTGACACACACACACTCTTTCTTGACAGCAGTCCTCTTCAAACACTGTGCACCATGCCATGCATAACATGTATGCAACAAATTGTTTGTAAACACTAATGATAAAATGACGATACTTTCTTTATGATAATCTCTTTTAGTCTCCCAGGAACTTCGGATTGAATTCTCCTTTTTTTCCATGCTTTTGTGGATGCTTCAACTATTTTCCAATATCAATTGGCTAAACCCCAAGACAACGGCTTTTTTAGTCAAAACAAGTGCACTGAGATATTTAGCTATTCATATCAAACATACAAAAGCAGCACATTTCCCTACAAGCTGGAATCAGAAAATGGTGAATTGTCTGCATGTAAATGTTCTGCAAGGGCTCAAATCTCTGAGATCCTTCCAGAGGGAGTCTCTCGCCCCCCCCCCCCCCTCTCTGAAATGCCTCCATTGGACTCCTTTTTTCACTTCTGTAACACAGTGACATCACTATGTAACACTGCCGCTTCTATTGGCTAGCGCTGTTACACATTGTACATGATAAGGGGCCGGATATCCCCGAGTGGTTGACCAATCACAACATAGCCCAGCTAACCAATCAGAGCAGACTGGGCTCTGGTTTCAGACAGAGGGTGAAAAGAGGTGCTGCAGCACAGGCAGTTTGAGAACAATAAAGAGCTTTTTGAACATTAAAGTATGGAGACATGTAGAGACACTACATACTGATATACACCTGAACATCAACAGGAGAGGACTCTTTAAAGTAGAGACACTACATACTGATATACACCTGAACATCAGCAGGAGAGGACTCTTTAAAGTAGAGACACTACATACTGATATACACCTGAACATCAACAGGAGAGGACTCTTTAAAGTAGAGACACTACATACTGATATACACCTGAACATCAGCAGGAGAGGACTCTTTAAAGTAGAGACACTACATACTGATATACACCTGAACATCAGCAGGAGAGGACTCTTTAAAGTAGAGACACTACATACTGATATACACCTGAACATCAGCAGGAGAGGACTCTTTAAAGTAGAGACACTACATACTGATATACACCTGAACATCAGCAGGAGAGGACTCTTTAAAGTAGAGACACTACATACTGATATACACCTGAACATCAGCAGGAGAGGACTCTTTAAAGTAGAGACACTACATACTGATATACACCTGAACATCAGCAGGAGAGGACTCTTAACGTAGAGACACTACATACTGATATACACCTGAACATCAGCAGGAGAGGACTCTTTAAAGTAGAGACACTACATACTGATATACACCTGAACATCAGCAGGAGAGGACTCTTTAAAGTAGAGACACTACATACTGATATACACCTGAACATCAGCAGGAGAGGACTCTTTAAAGTAGAGACACTAGCATACTGATATACACCTGAACATCAGCAGGAGAGGACTCTTTAAAGTAGAGACACTACATACTGATATACACCTGAACATCAGCAGGAGAGGACTCTTTAAAGTAGAGACACTACATACTGATATACACCTGAACATCAGCAGGAGAGGACTCTTAAAGTAGAGACACTACATACTGATATACAACCTGAACATCAGCAGGAGAGGACTCTTTAAAGTAGAGACACTACATACTGATATACAACCTGAACATCAGCAGGAGAGGACTCTTTAAAGTAGAGACACTACATACTGATATAACACTGAACATCAGCAGGAGAGGACTCTTAAAGTAGAGACACTACATACTGATATACACCTGAACATCAGCAGGAGAGGGACTCTTTAAAGTAGAGACAACTACATACTGATATACACCTGAACATCAGCAGGAGAGGACTCTTTAAGAGTAGAGACACTACATACTGATATTCACCTGAACATCAGCAGGAGAGGACTCTTTAAAGTAGAGACAACTACATACTGATATACACCTGAACAATCAGCAGGAGAGGACTCTTTAAAGTAGAGACACTACAACTACTGATATAACACCTGAACCATCAGCAGGAGAAGGACTCTTTAAATTAGAGACACTACATGCTGATATACACCTGAACATCAGCAGGAGAGGACTCTTTAAAGTAGAGACACTACATACTGATATACACCTGAACATCAGCAGGAGAGGACTCTTTAAAGTAGAGACACTACATGCTGATATACACCTGAACATCAGCAGGAGAGGACTCTTTAAAGTAGAGACTCTACATACTGATATACACCTGAACATCAGCAGGAGAAGACTCTTTAAAGTAGAGACACTACATACTGATATACACCTGAACATCAGCAGGAGAGGACTCTTTAAAGTAGAGACACTACATACTGATATACACCTGAACATCAGCAGGAGAGGACTCTTTAAAGTAGAGACACTACATACTGATATACACCTGAACATCAGCAGGAGAGGACTCTTTAAAGTAGAGACACTACATACTGATATCACCTGAACATCAGCAGGAGAGGACTCTTTAAAGTAGAGACACTACATACTGATATACACCTGAACATCAGCAGGAGAGGACTCTTTAAAGTAGAGACACTACATACTGATATACACCTGAACATCAGCAGGAGAGGACTCTTTAAAGTAGAGACACTACATACTGATATACACCTGAACATCAGCAGGAGAGGACTCTTTAAAGTAGAGACACTACATAACTGATATACACCTGAACATCAGCAGGAGAGGACTCTTTAAAGTAGAGACACTACATACTGATATACACCTGAACATCAGCAGGAGAGGACTCTTTAAAGTAGAGACACTACATACTGATATACACCTGAACATCAGCAGGAGAGGACTCTTTAAAGTAGAGACACTACATACTGATATACACCTGAACATCAGCAGGAGAGGACTCTTTAAAGTAGAGACACTACATACTGATATACACCTGAACATCAGCAGGAGAGGACTCTTTAAAGTAGAGACACTACATACTGATATTCACCTGAACATCAGCAGGAGAGGACTCTTTAAAGTAGAGACACTACATACTGATATACACCTGAACATCAGCAGGAGAGGACTCTTTAAAGTAGAGACACTACACACTGATATACACCTGAACATCAGCAGGAGAGGACTCTTTAAATTAGAGACACTACATACTGATTACACCTGAACATCAGCAGGAGAGGACTCTTTAAAGTAGAGATACTACATACTGATATACACCTGAACATCAGCAGGAGAGGACTCTTTAAAGTAGAGACACTACATACTGATATACACCTGAACATCAGCAGGAGAGGACTCTTTAAAGTAGAGACACTACATACTGATATCACCTGAACATCAGCAGGAGAGGACTCTTTAAAGTAGAGACACTACATACTGATATACACCTGAACATCAGCAGGAGAGGACTCTTTAAAGTAGAGACACTACATACTGATATACACCTGAACATCAGCAGGAGAGGACTCTTTAAAGTAGAGACACTACATACTGATATACACCTGAAACATCAGCAGGAGAGGACTCTTTAAAGTAGGGACACTACATACTGATATACACCTGAACATCAGCAGGAGAGGACTCTTTAAAGTAGAGATACTACATACTGATATACACCTGGACATCAGCAGGAGAGGACTCTTTAAAGTAGAGATACTACATGCTGATATACACCTGAACATCAGCAGGAGAGGACTCTTTAAAGTAGAGACACTACATACTGATATACACCTGAACATCAGCAGGAGAGGACTCTTTAAAGTAGAGACACTACACACTGATATACACCTGGACATCAGCAGGAGAGGACTCTTTAAAGTAGAGACTCTACATACTGATATACACCTGAACATCAGCAGGAGAGGACTCTTTAAAGTAGAGACACTACATACTGATATACACCTGAACATCAGCAGGAGAGGACTCTTTAAATTAGAGACACTACATACTGATATTCACCTGAACATCAGCAGGAGAGGACTCTTTAAAGTAGAGACACTACATACTGATATACACCTGAACATTAGCAGGAGAGGACTCTTTAAATTAGAGACACTACATACTGATATTCACCTCAACATCAGCAGGAGAGGACTCTTTAAAGTAGAGACACTACATATTGATATACACCTGAACATCAGCAGGAGAGGACTCTTTAAAGTAGAGACACTACATACTGATATACACCTGAACATCAGCAGGAGAGGACTCTTTAAAGTAGAGACACTACATACTGATATTCACCTGAACATCAGCAGGAGAGGACTCTTTAAAGTAGAGACACTACATACTGATATTCACCTGAACATCAGCAGGAGAGGACTCTTTAAAGTAGAGACACTACATACTGATATTCACCTGAACATCAGCAGGAGAGGACTCTTTAAAGTAGAGACACTACATACTGATATGAACCTGATAATGAACAGATTATGTCCTCATTAACACAAATATGAATCCTGTGTAAACTGACTTATAGTTTCAGCCCTGAAATCATACATTAAAAAACCCCTCTAAATATTACTATTGATGTTCAGTATGATGAATACAAATCAGTAGGGTCAGGACAGATATAGCTGCTGCACGTGAGGAATGCGTTGTCCTGCACTTGGCTGGCTTCCATGTGAAGCAGCGTCTGATGTGTCCACTCTATTAACAACACAATGATCTCATGTGAGTGGTGAGACACATCCCTCTCACACAGACACATTCTCTAATGGTCTCGCTCACAGAACTCCTGTGTTTATGAGTGTGTGAAACGGAGCTTATGTGTGAGCAACAATGACACACACAAACAGAGAGGGTGTAATTGTCTCATTGGATGCTGCTCGGCTGCAACAAAGCTTCATGCTGCTACCACGGCTGCTGCTTTAAATGTGTGCAGAGAGTACACACACACACACACACACACACACACACACACACACACACACACACACACACACACACACACACACACACACACACACACACACACACACACACACACACACACACACACACACACACACACACAACACACACACACACACACACACACACACACACACACACACACACACACAACACACACACACACACACACACACACACACACACCACACACACACACACACACCACACACACACACACACACACACAGTAAACTGCAGTGTGTGCTCGGCTCACCGTTTTCTTTTAAAAGGAGACTTTGGTATGTCAGCTACAGGTATCATCTGTTCCCCGGGTCTGACCCACATGATGGGCCCGTCGTCGCTCTCGGTGGGATCCATGGTCCTCAGGCTGGAGAACGTTCCCCACGGAAGAGTCCGCTGCAGACACACACATGAAGAGGAAAAGTAAGTACTCCCACACTTTTTCACTAAAGCCATTCAAGCTTTTGATTTATTCCAGAGAAAAAGCAGTCTCGTGCAGAACTTGCTCCCTCTGGCTAAACTTGTCACAGCAGCGAGACGCTTCCCAGGGAGCTGAATCAGAGCCAAAGCCCTCGACACAGTGAGAGCCAGAGGATGTGTGTCGCCACTCCTCCACACTGTACGCAGGATATTTCAAGTGTCAACACAGAATGGCAAACAAAAGGAAAAGCTTGTCCCGCCTGCATTTCAGGGACAGCTCAGTAAACACTCCACTGGTCTGTTTCCGCACACAGGTTTTAAAAGAGAACCTGATTCAAATAACACATGGGGTTAACTCCTGACAGTGTGTTGTTGATGCTTGTGGTGGGCAGTGTTTCTCCCTATGTACATTTCCAAACAGTCAGTGCAGTAAATGCAATAAAGATCTGCTTGATAGCTCTGACACTTTCTTATTCCCATTCTTTCCATCCGTTCTGGCGCTGTGTAAGCACTGCTGCCATTCATCCTGTCCGAACTCACCTTCAGGAAGGGCGACTCCTCTAGCATGCCGAGGAATTCTGGGAAATAATTCCCGACCTCCTCGTCCACGGCTCCCACCAGGCTGATCTGTCTCATTGCTCCGGCTCGGTATGTGCCATTACTGTACGTTTTCTTCACCTGCAGCAACAAGAAAGGCAATGTTAGACAATATTGTAATGCTAATTTATCTTGCGTTGTAAATAACAATAATACAGAACAGACACATTATCTAAATCCAGATGATAGACATAATGGTTTATGTTCTTTATAAAGCATTTCATATTTTGCTTTCAGTTAAAAGAAGGTCAATTACATTTGAATCAGTAAGGATGAGCTGCAAAAGCATTGGATTCTCTCCAGTGATTTGAAGGTTTTAAGATTGTCTTGAATCTACTGCAGGTGGATAGGCAGTAGATAGTGCTTCCTTTTGTTTCTGACACTATATGTATTTTCCACTATCTATCATTTCCTGTTCTTCCCTCTGGCAGGTCACCCACATGAGACACGCATGTACGTCAGGGATCTGCAAAATGTGTAGGGAAAAGAGTAAGGTATATATGTTTACGTAATACACATGTGTATTACGTATTGTTGGCTGCTGTATAATCCAAAAGTCGCTGTTAATCACTTTAGGGTGTCAAAACAGAGACTGTGTGTGTGTGTGTGTGTGGTTTCACTTGTTGTTTCTGCTCCAACGGTGTAACAGTTTGCTGCTCTTCACTTGGATGAGAGAGCTTAGTGTGAGAGCTTAGTGTGTATTAAGTGTGTGTTTGTGTGTGTCACGTCTCTCAAGCCCCTTGGCTCTAAACAGGGTTTTCGTGTGTGTGTCTGAGTGTGCAGTGAGTGCAGCATGTGGTCTGCATGCTGTATTCTTGGCTGATCTTGTGTGTGTGTGTGTGTGTGTGTGTGTGTGTGTGTGTGTGTGTGTGTGTGTGTGTGTGTGTGTGTGTGTGTTGGCCAGATCCTTGGCTGCATGCCTCCAATGAGTCACCACTTGATGACGAGGCAGAGATAAAGAGAGAGAGTCCAGAGGGAGGAGAGGGGGTGAGGGACAGATGGACAGAAGTGGGGAAGAGTTTAGGAAGACAAGCTGTCAAAGAGACACAGAAGACAGGAAGAGGAAACATGGAAGAGAGTATGGAGAGAGAAAGTAGGTAGGAAAGTAAAGACTACATTTTGATTTTGATGTGAAGGAGAGAAGCGGACAGAAGAGTAGGAGACAGCAGATAAGAGAAGGGGGAAAGGAAGAAGGCAGTACTGTGACACGAAGGGAAGAAGTGATGAAGCTAGGTTAGAGAGGGTGGGGGGCAGAGGTCATGAAGATGGAGATGATGAATCGGGAAAAGCCTGAAGAGGCTCAGCAGGTCCGTGGTGCGCCCCTGAGCAAGGCACTGAATCCCTAAACAGCTGCTCAGAGGACAAGGCCTTAAATACAGCGGCTCAGGTGTGTGTGTGTGTGTGTGTGTGTGTGGTTATGTTCACAGGCTGGATAATAAGTACAATATGTCTGTAACAGCTGTATACCTGGGGTCAACCAGTGACATTTCAAAGCTGAGATAAAAGAAAACAACTCATCACAACAGAACAAAGTAACACAGGTTAGGTTAGGTGTTCATAATCAGCTTTACCCTGATCAATACTCATTTTTCTCACACACACACACACACACACACACACACACACACACACACACACACACACACACACACACACACACACACACACACACACACACACACACACACACACACACACACACACACACACACACACACCACACACACACACACACACACACACACACACACACACACACACACACACACACACACACACACACACACACACACACACACACACACACACACACACTGTGTTGTTCTCTCCATCTCCCTAAAGCTGTGTAATATCCTCCAGGACGATGATAAGCAAAAGCTTGAAGCACTACCTCCACACGCATAAACACAGCTCAACTTTAAATAGTCTCCCTGAGTCAATGACCTAGATACTGAGGGAGTGTGCACACATGGAATCTAACGCCTTCATGCTTACCAACATTTGTGTTTCTCGCCCAGTATGTGTGCATCTGTGTTTGCTTTTGAACATCTCCTCCTGTGTGTCTGTGAGTTGTTTACACACGATGCATCATTTACCGGCAGAATAACCCCCACGTTGTTAGCAAAGGGAACAGTGTCACCGTCACAGGACTACAGTGTTACCAGACACCAAAAAACACCTTTAACAGTCACACATCTGGCTTTAATAAGCAACTGAAGGAAACAGGAAATGTGACAGACTTCCTTTGACTACGAGTTGCTCTAGTACTTCCTCTCATCTGTGAACTCTATATATATCATCCACAGAAAACAAATGTCCATCCCATGTTCTGAAGGTCCAAGGTGATGTCTTTAAACGTCTCCTTTTATCCAACAACTACAACTCAGGACACAAAAGAATGCAATTACATTTATTTCTCCATCTAAAACATCTTATTAGGTATTCTTGGTCTGCATGTTCACGAGATGAAAGAGCCACCATCATTAAATATAATTATCATTACTGTCGTCTCTCCCCTGCTGTCACTTCCTTCTGCTTAAAGCAGTGCATCGTCTCACTCCCTCTCTACTTCCCACTCGCTGTTTTACCCAGATTATCCATTTTTCTCTCGTCTCCATCAGACACTCCATCTCCTCCTCTTCCTCATTACACTCACGTCCCCCAGTGGGAAGTCTATTAGATCAAGCCTCTCTCTTCTCCGCCTGTGATGCAGCCATGTGTATCCACTAGTTCATTCTGGAACTACTTTCCCTCCTCTCGTCAACACGTCCTCCGCTCTCTGTCTCTGCAGCTGAGTTTGTGTCATCTCACTAATCTCTCTGGCCTCTCCACGACCTGTGTGTGTCTGTCTGCTGCTTCCTCTCTTTCCCAGCTGTGTGTCTCTCTTTCTGTTTCTCAATCGAACACAGTCTCATAATACACACATGCACACAGAAGGATTCAAACTTGTATTTCCGGATCCATACTTGTGTTTTTCAATGCACACACAAATGTATTCCGTTTCATATATATGTAAATAAAATCCCAAACACAGAAAAAAGTTTTACAGATGTATTTTTGATCCTCACTTATTAGTTTCCCGTTTAAATCCCCTGAACCTGCAAACACAGCTTTCTGTGCACGGATCGCTGTGCATTCGTGTGCAGGTTTTTTGAGACTCCCCTGACGGTCAGCCGATTCGTACTTGTAATTTTTTCTATCTATAGCCAATCAGATGTCTCCTTCATTCTAAGCCAATCACATGAGCACGCCCCCACGAGGGTAAGATTACTTCATATACGCATTTTGCGCAGTCCGGTCAGCTCGCTAAACAGAGGGCTGAGCATCAGGTGATCATGCAGAGCAGCGTGTCTCCATCAGACTCAGCAGCTGATCTGGGCTGCAGTCGAATAGTCCATTTAGCTTAGGAACCTTCCTAACCGAGTGAAATGACCCGGACGTCCCTCACTGGCAGCCATGATAAGTGCCGTTCCAATTCTCTAGAATGATAGGAAAGGAGGTTTCAAACTTCCTTTATAACCTCCTTTAGCTTAGGAACCACTGGACCTCCATAACCAAAAGGAGAGGAGAAAATGCTGCCCCACAATGCATTGCAGCCGCAGCATTTGACATCACACAACAGTCGGCCCTTCACGGACACAAACGATTATGACGGAGAAATGATATCATGAAAGTTACGGTGCTTATTAAGCATTTTAAAACGTATGTGGTAACTTGCCAAAGTGCTTTGTTTTGAACGTTAATCAGTATTATAATCAAAAAGAGAAATATGAACGTTAGTTTTTACTGAAATGATCAAATAAAGTCAACATTTCACAGTCTTTACTGAGCTGTGTGGGGTTTGTTCAACTTTTAAAAGATGTTTGAATGGTGATATACACAGTGATAGATGTTAAGGACTAACGTTTATAATAAATACATCTGTATTGATTTTAAGATCTTTTCATAGTTCATACAATCATACGTATTGGGATCATTTGTATAAATGTGGACCGGAGGGAGAGGGTGACGAGCAGAAGTTACACTTTACTTTTTTATTTCAATTCCAACTTTGGTCCTGAAGAATATGTTTCTCTGTTGTCCACGTTCATAAAGCATAAAGCAACAGCATCAGAGCACGGTGCAGAGTCTCTAGATGAGTTTACAGTAGTCCCTCGTTCTTATTAAACATCCATGTTGTAGTCCGCTGTATAGAGAACTGTAGTTTCCATAGTTTCCCCACAGCAGCAGACGCACATTCATGACGTCCGCTGGCGCATCATAAACACGTCGGATAGAGAAAGTGCACTCGGATTCTCTAAAGTACCGCAGTCTCTTTTCCTAAGTCCTTTTGAATTCTCCTATCCACTATCCCTTAACCCCGTGACGTTTCACTCAGAGGTCAAGGAATAGACGATAGGGTTAGAATTTAGGAGCTGATTTTTAAACTATCCGAACGCAACCCTAATCTCTCTCTTGCGTCCGGTTATACTTCACTTGTGTTTATGTCCATATCGATCAGATCCAGCTCTCCTGATCGGCCTTTATAGAGAGCACCGATCAAACTATTAAGAGTGAATATCGGCCGATAATGACCGGCGGGGCTCCCCCCGTTGACAGTTCACTGTCTAGCACTGGCTTCGTAGTACACTGATCGATTAGGCTAAGCTAACCTGTAGCTGCTCCCTCCACACCAGGCCCGGTTCTACGGGGGTGCATGAGGGTGCATTGCACCCTCAGTTGAGTCGTTATGCACCCTCATTTGAAAAATTAAAAAAAAAAAAAATTAAAAAAAAAAGTCAAAAATACGACATATATAATAACAATAATATTAATAGTAGTGATAATAATAATAAGAAAAAGAAGAATAATATAGTTGGAATAAAATAAATTGTGGTTAAATAACATTGTCTGCTGCATTTATTTGCTCAATTTAAACGGTAAGTAACGTTATTATGTCAGGTGTGCGTGACCTGTGCCGCTGCACGTTCGTCATCTGCAAGGTGCTTACACAGCAGTCAATGATGGAAAATGGTTAAAACAACCAGCCCTTATTGCCAGGAGTAACACTGCATCTACTGCAGGTAATAACAGTTCAGATC